CTTTACGACATCACCACTGGGATGCACACACTTTGCAAAATAATGTTGTTCTATTCTTTTTGTTGCATTGGCTGTTGATAAATTACACGAGAAGGAAACACTAATCACACCAGAACAAACTTATAAATATCCTATAATATACCTAGATTCTTGGTATATTCCTTACACGCAATTTGAAATCTAGGGCTTAAGTGTTTATGGCGTGCCACGGGCTCACGCCCTTCGAATCGAACGAGCTGTCCAGCACGGCGGACCTGGTCTCTCCAGAAGAGGTAGCTACACCCGATCGATCTTTGCGATCTTAGCCAGGAATGCAGGTGAGGGCAAGGATCGAGGTCGTTGTCCGGCGATTCTTGGCCACTTTGATCTCTCATCGGCCCAGGATTATGCCGCTTTCCATGGCAAGATTTTCTTTCCCAGGTCCTTTAACGCAGCGAAGTGCTTGATTGTTGAATCTATCTCCAGGTCCGGAGGAATTGTAGCAACGTTTTGATGCAAAGGGGGCTACTGCAAGGCGATAACATCTTCCTGTCGCATCTAGACTCGACCCTGAGCTTCACAAAATCCGGGAGCATGAAGAGATACTTTCGAGGTAGTAACTTCCTTTCGCTTGCTTTTCTCTATGGTTTTCTCTTTTTGATTTTTCCTCTACAGTTTGGAAAATGCTGGAGCTCTGCTACCAGCTTCTTACGCTTGGCAAGAAAGCTACACAGCGGGAGATTTTCTACAGGCTTCTTTGCGACGCATCCGAGTACTTCCAGTGCCAGGAGCAAGTTAACAAAACCATCCGAGGCAGAGTTTAGTTTTTCTTAGCTGCTGGAGATGGCTGAAGCGAGAAAGCGAAAACTATGCACGCAGATGTGGTGGGAATCCTGAAATGCAGCCGCTACAGCCTGGGAATCCTCGCGTCAGCTAGAGGAGCTATCGTTGGTCGACTTGTCATTCAGGTACACCACGAGTTTGCCGGACATTTTTGTTTTGTTTCCATTCTTTCTCTCGTCAGGAACTCAACAGGGAACCTGTCGACTGCACGAAGATTGGCATCAATGGCTACATAATCGATGGCGACTTGGAGCTGCTGCAGAACTTGACGCTTACATCCGATGCTCGATACATTCTCGTGATTGAGAAGGTAACTTTGCAAACAAATCGAGGCTTTAGGCTCGCTAAACTTCTTCCTTCTTTTTCCTTTTGTACAGGATGCCGTGTTCCAGCGGCTTTCAGAGGACCGATTCTTTCAGACCATCCCAAGCATACTGATCACGGCAAAAGGATACCCCGACCTTGCATCAAGGTGAAGAGATTGATGTGATTTCATGGCTTTTCTGTTTTGATTTTCATCCTTGTTGTAGTACAGGGTCATGCTTCACAAGCTCCACAGAAGCTTCCCACTTCTGCCTATACTCGCACTGGTCGACTGGTACGTTCTGTCCATTTGGCAATGGAAATCTTTGCATTTTTTTTCTTTCCAGGAATCCTTGCGGCCTGGGAATTATTTGCACATACAAGTTTGGAAGCGTGGGAATGGGACTCGAAGCTCCTCATTACGGTACCAAAGCTTTCATTCGTTCTTTTTTTTTCTCTCTAGAAACAGAACATTCTTGCAGTGTGCGACGTCAAGTGGCTGGGTGTAAGCAGCGAGGATCTTCCTCGCATCCCTCCGGAATATTTCGTGGAGCTCTCCGCTCGCGATCGTCAGCTTGCGAAAGGCTTGCTTTCGTCGGCAATGCTCCAGGTGAAAGTTTCACAGTTTTTCTCTCGCTCCAGGACTGATAGTTTGCTTTTGCTTTGTTGCTTTGCGTTTAACGCATTAGAACCATCCTCGCTACAGGGAAGAATTGGAACGAATGATCCAAGCCGGCAAACGCGTGGAAATAGAAGCGCTCTACGCTCACGGCTACAAATCTTTGAGCAGCTACGTCGCCCAGAAGATCGTCCAGATGAGATACTTTTGATAGAGGAAGCTCTGTTTTGATAGAGGAAGCTCTGTTTTTAGGGTTCATGATAGAGCACGGCCTTTGGATTTCCCATGAATAACTTTGCCCATCATCTTATCTCGAGCTCTCTTCTATATTTAAGAAGCCCCAATCTCTACCTAGGGGTCTATTTTTTCTTCTTCTTGGATTGAATCGCTTCTTTGGCGCCATGGCGAGCGTCTTCGATCCAGCAACGGGAATCTACTCCAGCTGCCGCCCCGCATTGTCAATGCCATCGCCCGGTGCCACTGGAGGAATCGTCCAGTTCTTGCTGGAGCGCACCAGCGATCCAGGGATTTCGAGCAAGCTGGCGCTAGTCGACGCGATCACGGGCGAGAGGGTGACATTCTCGCAGCTCCGGCGCAGGATCTCCGTCATTGCGCAGGGATTGATCGAGCTGGGGGTCCGCCGGGGCGACGTCGTGCTCATCCTGAGCCCGAATTCCATCCAGTTCGTGGAATCCTTCCTCGCGGTGATATTCGTCGGCGCGATCCTCACGACGGTGAATCCTCTCAACACCGCGGAAGAAATCGCCAAGCAGGCCAGGGATTCCTCCCCTAGCCTCGTCATCACGACGCTGGAGCTCGCGGACAAGGTCCAGCGCCTCGATCTTCCCAGCGTCATCATCGATCATCGCGATGGCTCGGTTCTTCCTCCAAGATCCATTCCCTACTCGTCGCTGCTGCGAGAATCGCCGATATTTCGAGACGGATCATCGATATCGGCGCCGATCGAGTCGAATCTCGATGACACAGTGGCGCTCCTCTACTCCTCTGGCACGACCGGCGTGAGCAAGGGCGTGATGCTGTCGCACAGGAACTTCCTCGCGGCGGCCGGGCAAGTGAACATGGATGCCGAGATGGAGGGCCGGGAGAACGATGTCCTGCTCGTCATGCTGCCGCTCTTCCACATCTTTGGCCTCGCCGTGAGCTACGCGTCACTCCAGAGGTCCGAGACGGTGGTTATCCTGCCAAGGTTTGAGTTCCTCCACTTCCTCAAGAGCATCCAGGATTTTAGGGTTACGCAGCTCCCACTCGTCCCGCCAGTGGCGATCGCGCTCGCCAAGCATGCCGCGGTCGCCGATTACGACCTCTCCTCCATCAAGAATGTCATCTCTGGCGCTGCGCCTCTGGGCAAGGAGATCATGGAGGCGTGCTCTCGCCGCCTCCCTCTCGCGGATATCCGACAGGTACTCTCTCCTCTCTAGCGCTGGTTTGCTGAGATCTTCGAGTTTGCTCCAGGGCTATGGCCTGACTGAATCGACTGGAATGGCACTGCTCACACTTCCTGGAGAAGATCCACGATTCATGGGCGCTGCCGGGAGTTTGGTGTCTGGAACCGAGGCCATGGTGGTGGATCCGGAGACGTGCAAGCCTGTCCCTCCTCAAAAATCTGGAGAACTTTGGCTGAGGGGTCAACAAATCATGAAAGGTGAGGTTCGAGCTCCACTCTCACATCCCCTTTTGGACTAAGACCCTTGTCTTTTCTAATAGGCTATTTAAACAATCCAACAGCGACAGCCTCGACGATTGACGAGAATGGGTGGCTCCACACCGGAGACCTCGTCTACGTCAATCAAGGACGGTTCTTTGTCCTGGACAGGATGAAAGAGCTCATCAAGTACAAGGGATTCCAAGTATGTTATTCTATGCATTTTTGTTCACTTTCTCTCGCATACAATTGCTTATAAGCGATGGAAATCTCGCAGGTCGCCCCGGCTGAATTGGAAGCATTGCTACTGTCTCATCCTTCGCTCCTGGACGCTGCAGTAGTACCGTGAGTGACAATCCAAAGCTTCTCTCGAGTTCTTGTAACCATTGTTTTTTTCTTGGCCAGTCTCGCAGACGAAGAGGCGGGTCAAGTGCCAATAGCATATGTCGTGAAGAAACCCAACGCCACCGTGGATGAATCCAACGTCCTAAACTTCATTGCCAAACAAGTAAACCTCCATTTCTTTCTACCGCAAACCTTGGATTCTACGGTTTGTGTGTCCAGGTAGCTCCCTACAAGCGATTGAGACGCGTTTCTTTCATCGACGCGATCCCAAAGTCAGCGGCGGGGAAGATTTTGCGCCGCGAGCTAACAGCGCTCCCACAATCCAAGCTTTAAGAAAGGAGGTACGCCGTTTCGTTAGTCAGGGCGACGCGAAGAAAGTATGTCCAAGGTGAGCGTTTTCCTGGCGAGCGGACACCACAAGCTCCACAAGTTCAAGCCCCCCGTGCGATGCGAGCTCGTTGTCTCGCGCCTCGAGAAGCTCTATGGCGTGGGGGATTTGTGCGACGAGGATGGCGATTCCATCGTCGACACTGCCGAGTTGGGCACCGGGAATTATACCTACACTGTGACTCATACACGAGATAGAGGCTGCTGCTTCTACGACCACTGACCTAAAACACCAAACAAAGCGCGGGCGGGAAATCGCTTAAACAAAAGTTTAAAATTTTAAATTTGAAGGTGTTTGGCGCGCTTGGATAAATAAAAGTATATTCTCTAGTGTTATTTTCGAATTTGACCGCGAGGAGCGAAAGAAGGTTGTTCTCTCTCGCATGAATTGGCGTATTTTGTCATCACCGGCTGGAAGATCTCCACATCCGAATAAATTGGCGTAGTTTTGTCATCACCGGCTGGAAGATCTCCAAATCCGACCCTCGAGAGACACCACCATAACCGACAGATCGTCGTGGTACTTCCTTCGATCGCCCTGAGGGATGTCTAGCAAATCGTGGAACTCCATACCTGGCAGTATAGAACTCACATCAAAACTATTGGAAAACACGCTGCTTGATTCGATCACTTACCGGCCTTTCTGGCTGCGCGGAAGAGAACCTCCTCGATCAAATACTGGGCGGGGTCGCCGTCCGGGAACTTGTCCATGAACCATTCCACGTAAGAAACCACCTCGTCGTTGGTGAGGTACTGGTAAAGCCCGTCCGATGACAAGACCAGGAATTGGTCTTGCGGGCAGAGCTTATGGTGGTGGAGATGTGGTATGCACGATATGTAGGGAGCGCTCCCCACAAATTGGACACGAAACACCTCCAGCAATGCATCGTTCCACTTTGGCTGCATCAAACAAACGAGAAAGTATGAATACCCTTTTGGAAAGAAAAGAAAAGAAAAAGAGAGAAAAGATACTAACCTGTTTGAGATACCCAGCGCCAAACGCTCGAGTGACTGCCAGCTTCCCCTTGACACGGTCGTTCACAATCGACGACGTATCATCCGGATGCGCAGATCGTATCTTCCCTGCTTCCTGGAAGCAACGAAAAGAGCAACCAAACCATCAGCCAGAGCGGCAGGGAATATAATCGCCTGTCCTCACCTCTGGAACGCGTGTGCTGTGGTCGAGAGAAAGCTGCAACGCGCCCAGCGTTGCCGAAACAGGGGGAGGCCCCGCTGCGTCGTCGCCCGCGCCGTGCGCTTCAAACGCCGCCAGCTCCATGGGCGTCTCCTCCACAATCCTCTCGAGCTCCAGGTCCTGGCTTCCGGGCCTCTGCCTTGCCGAGCTCTCAAAAGTAACGGCCTTCCTGTGCTGTGCTAAAACAGCGCGACTATCCCCAACGTTCAATATGTACACGTCCTCGTCCTTCATCAGCATCACCAGAACGCACGAGCCGATGAGAGCCAGCTCCGGGTTCTCCTCGAACATCTCGTCGATCATGTCCAAGTAGGACTCCTCCGTGGCCTCCAAGGCCCGCGCCAGCGCCTTGAGGACCGCAGCGTGATTTACAGCACCCCTCCCATGCAGCCTCTGCCGCTGCTCCTCCCGCTCCTTCTCCGACTTTATTCTCTCCTGCTCCCACTCGTACCTATACTGAAGAATCCGCCGCTGGTTCATCCGCTTCCGCCTATTGTAAACCTTCCTGAATCTAGTGCTAAGCGACCGCATGTTGATCGGCTTAACTGTAGCGGCGTGATGATCACCAGCTGGCCCGTTTGCTTGACCAGCTGTACCATTTGGCTTAGTGCCGCCGTCTTCATTCCTCTGACACAGAGTCCCGCAACCATCGCCAGCTTTGCACCCAAACCTTTCGCAGTCAAGCTCATTGACGTCAATCCCGTTGACAGAGCCATTGTGCGCATCCCACCTACGGATTTCTGCTCCAAGGTCAGACACTTTAGCCTGACTTAATCCACGAGAATCTACCCGCTGCAGACGATCATCATCCCCGTTGCTGGTCGCGTGGTTTTCGTTTTCCTCGTCCTTCTGCTCGCCTGGAGCTTCCGGCTTTCTCTCCGCCAGATTGTGATCAACTTTGGACGTCGGTCTCCTATGCCGCGGCGGGAGCTGGAACGCCTTCTTCTGATCCCAAAGCAGCCCCTTAAGCTCCCTGTAAATCGCGGGATAAAGATTGCTCATAAGGTAGTCTGTAGCGTCCGGTCCACTGAACCCGTCGTATATGCCAACGAACAGCCATCCATGTTCCTCTGATAGGACAACATGAACTCTATCTTCACCAGCTTTCCCTTGAGCCCAGTGAAGGTTATGGCTCTCAATTCCGTCTGCGTCGGAAAATTCCCCGTTTGATTGCGGGGAATCCAGAAAGGACCTCAGATCCCTCCGCTCGTCGCTGTTACCTGTTCTTGTCTCCCTGGACGCGAAGCTCTTCATAGGCGCCACCACTGACCTGTTCGTGCGTGTCAAATTCGAAACTGTTCTCGTGAGAGCCTTCTTCACGGGATCCCCAACCGTCTTCATGATCCTCGCCAGGGATTTCCTGCGCTTTCTCATGTAAGCCGACATTGGAACCGCCAGTGGAGCCGAGAAGGTGGTGCGGTCGACCGGCTCAAACGGGCCAGAGTTGTAAGCCCTGTCCAGAGGGCCGGACATGAACCCCCGCTCTATCGGACCCGACATGAATCCCCGCTCAAGAGGACCCGACGCCGAGACAAATCCTCCCCTTTCGAGAGGACCCGAGCACGGTCCAGACAGAGGCCCCGACATAGGCCCCGAGAACGAGACCCCCCGCGGGATAGGCTGCAACGGGAGAGCACTGAACGACGGCGTGCTCTCGAAGGTCGCTGCCCGCTCGTTGGCGAAACAATTGTTAAACTGTTCGTGGTAGACGATCGAGCGCGGAGCCGCTGTATTGGCACTCACGGAAGCCCCCGAGATGCTCTTGAAGGAAGTCTCCGAGATGCTCTTGGACTTCTCGGTTCCAGATTCCTGGTGCTGCTGGAGCTGCTGCTGTAGTGGGTCTTGACCTTGAGTGTCCGATCCAATGCTGCTCGACTCATGATTGAATTCGGCATCCCCAGCTTCGCCGGGCGACAAGTCTTCGAGGGAATCCACCACGGGCCGGACGTAGCAAAAGGAATGGCCCAGCCCCTCATCCAGCGGATCCGTGAATAGTGCCGCCACTGCATCGTGCTGGCTCTTGGGAACGAAGCAGCAAACCACTCGCGACACACTGTTGCCCATCACATTCTCCTCCTCGAGTAGCCTCCCACTCCTCTGTCCAAGCCTGCTACTAGAAACCCACTGCCCGGCCAATCCCCCTCTTGGCTAGAAGCAATAAAGGTGGAGGATCCCAACATACTGACCCCTTTGTGCCTTCCTATAGCCCGCGAAGCCCCTGGGATCGTGTCTCGTGTAGATGCCACGAAGAAGACGAAGTCGAGGGAGTAGCGCTCACTGCCAGCGGGGGCTGTTGACGAAGCCGAGTAGTCGTTCTTGGCGGGCCCATTGGAGCGAGTGGATCCCAGCAGCAACCTAAGTCCCACAGATCTTCCACATCGAATGCTCGAGCCGAGCCAAGCATGCCAGTGCTGCCGCTGCCAATCATCCCCGACGAGGCACCGACAGTCGCATCAGAGCTAGAGAGGAGGCGAAAAGGACCCCGAAATACCTCGATTCTCGCGACGGCGCCGCTCGAATCCGCGCCCGCGCGGCGCGTATCGATCGATCGCGAGTGAGAGCAGCGGTACCTCTTCTGGACGCGCAATCGCCCCGGCGCTGGCGTCGGGAGGGATCCAGCATCGATATTTCGGGGCGCTCCAGCCGCCGCCGCCGATCCGCCCGACCGATCGATCCGGCCAAACCCTGGGCGCCAAGAACACGAAGAAGTAAAACAAGGGCAATGAAGACGCAATGAAGGCAACTAAGAACACTTGAAGTTTCCACCGTGAGTGAGAGCGCAAGAAAGAAAAAAAAGAAAAAAAAAAAATGGGCACGAAAATAATAAAAGGATGACCGGCCGGTCATTTGATTTTTCCCGCCGGACGTCCACGTGTCAGGCGGCAGTAGACTTTTAGCGGGCTCGTGGTCAAACGCGTACGGCCGGGCCATTTTTTTTGCGCCATCGCGGGACAAAACCATGTAATGTAGTATAGTTCCATAGGGTCGTACGGCACAGTGGCCAGTATGCTTTGGAGGCTTGCGTTGCGTCCCTTTAGAAAATATTGGGGCTGGTTTGTCGTGGTTTTGGTCGCGTTGTGTAAAGTCCTGGGCTGAATATTCGACTGGAGAACTTTTGTCAAAGCAAACCAAATCCGTGAGGGGCGACGCATTCACACACACACACACACATTGATATTGATCTATAGTTGTGTGTGAGAAAAGGAAAATATTAGTTCCGGACGAAGGAGGAGATCACAATCACGATTCCAATCACTCGCTCACGATCGTCATCCTTTTTTGTTGCGACTTAGAAAAATCATATCCACGGACCACGCCCGTGTTTAATCCAATTCTCCCCAAACATGCAAAGACGAGGAAGACGACGATGGACTAGTCCTGTGCCACTTTCTCAAACACACTTAAACCTTTTTCTTCCACCACTTTCTCCAAACACCCAGCAAAAAAATAAGAATAAAAATACTTTTTTATATCAGAAGAAAAAACGAATATGCCTCCACCAACTTATAAAACCAACTATAAAGTATAAAACCAACTTGTCAAGCAAAGCCAATGCTTGCTAATGTCATGCTTGTGACGAGCTCTGTGTGAGTAGGAAAGTCAACGCAGCTATCATTTTTTTTCCTTCGAGCGCGCGTTACAAAAAGTCAACCCACATACTGGATTCTAGAATGTCTGGGTTGACCCACCACCACCACCAAACTCCCACTAATCCGATGTTAACTCCGCATTATCTCCATGCTTAATGAACACGTTGACACCGCCACCACGAAACACGCGATTTCTCTCCGTGGCCATCGCGAGAAAAAAAAAAAAAAAAGCTTTCATGTTCTGTGTAACAGCGCGGCTTCTCAAGAGACGCTTGGCAGGAACTCGAGCGAGGGACTTGACTTTTTGGGATCCCGGATTGACGTCCAAAATCTCGCCTCCAGTCCTGGAAAAAAAAGCTGTGATGGAGATGAGAACTCTCCGTCCAGCAAAGTCAAGGGTGTAGCTGAGACTTAGAACAATCGCGACAAACTGGATCAAACTTGCGAGGAGCTTATATGTCAAACTTACGAGCGCGACTTTTCTGGAACGAAGAAGAGCAAGAAAATAGAAAAAAAACCCAGATGTGATCGGATCGAATAGCGAGGTGGCAGAGCCTAGACAGCGACTTCTCATCCGTTTTGGTTTCGTATCTCTCACTCCTATTAAGTCGAATGAAAATTTTCCTCGCGTACCTTCCGCTTTCGTTTCGTAGAAAAGCGCCCAGCTTCTTCCCCGTGTTTGGATTCATGTCAAAGATCTCCTCCTCGTTTATCAAGCCCTGCGTGTGCAAATGTCAACCAAAGAAAACGAGCGAGAAACAAAAAATAATCCAAGAAAAAACCAAGGAAGCATTTGCTGTAATACATCGCGACTCAAAACAGTAATAGCTATGGATCCATCTACATGGGGCCAACCTCCAATACAACGCAACCAACAACACACAATGTCAACTTCAATAGCACAAATGCTCCAAGGAAAACATATTTGTTGTTTTCTATCTCCCCAGTCAAACAAGTGCCACCTACCAGCCATTCATTCACGAAAAAAAGGCCAAAACAGAGTTCCAGAGAACCAAAAAGCCAAAACACCCGAGTCAACCCACGCATTCAATGCGATCCAAAGTTTTATGTCTGAGCCTTTGCGAGCTAATGCGCTGCTACTGCTACTCTAGCTCACGACAAACACAGAGAGATCAGAGCACACGCAACAGCAAGAGCAAACAGGGGCATGGAACTTGCCTGGCCGCGGTGTCCTTTCACAGCTCATGATCGTCGTCTGGCGATGGCTTCCTCCGCAGTCCAAAGAGCCGAAGCAGGCTGGAAAACCAGGAGACTTTCTTTGGCTGGAAACACACCACCTCGAAGCTGTGTTTCAAGTGCGGGGAAACAATCTTGTCCTGCGTGCAGCCGGATTAGTTATAGCTCATGGATTTAAAGTTCCGCTCACCAGGAAAAGGTCCACGGGACAAAAATGCGATCCATTACATGCCTGTCCAGTAAAGTGAGCGCGCACCATGAGAATGTGTATGAAAACAGCACGGGACTTAACTGGCATAATCATTGGATGTTCATTGTGAAAGGCTTGCACCCGGAAGGCTGGACTTTGGATGGAGCACTTGTAAAGTACCAGCATCGTGTTACCTCCAAAAGGTGCTACTAGACTTCCCCTCCAGAGTCGAGGGAGTGGAGGTTTGGGAGGAATCGCGACGGACTTCTCCTCCTGTACAACTTTCACATCTGTAAAGGAGCTTCAGAGGTCAGCTTTTTAAATGGCCCACACAAACATACCAGCTCCGTCTAAAAAGAGGCCAAGGAGGCACGCGAACGGCAGTACTGTTTCCGCGTGTGCAAATCGCAACTTGGCTTTCTCCAGAAACTTAGCGTCTGTAGAATCTGAAATGCGCACTAACACTCAGTGATCGACGATAAGCTTTAAATTAATACCTCTGGCGCTTTCCTCCATAGCCGAAACAATAGCTTCTTTCACGTTGGAAAGTAGAGAGATGCCCATTTTGTAGTTGATTGAATCGCCATAGCCTTTTAGATGATGTAGCTCAACGTCGTCCGCCCATTCAAGTAGACGAACCTGGAATATCAAAATTACTTCGGTACTAGATAGCCTAGTCGTCAAGATACCTCTTCTGGAAGAAAGAGCTTGCAAGCTTGCGTAGTGATCTCTAACACAGATGCTTCCTGCAGTACACAACAACAACAAGACATAGCTCGTAAAAGTCCACGAAAACAAAAACAAAAACTTGCCTGCTTGCATAAAAACCATAAAGAAGAAATATCATCGTTTGTAAACGGTAATTTATACCTCTTCGTAGCGGCTGCGGAGACCTGTGCATATACTTTGTTTTGGAGTTTGGCCACAGCCGGTCTTCGAACAGCTTTGGATTCCTATCATAAAAAACTTCAGAAAAAACACAAACCCATGACATCAGACACGCACCTTGTAGTTTTGACAACAGTCATGAAATCTTAAGTGTATGTCATTGGTTTTGTTGTCGCTGATCACTGAAAATGCGCGGTGCTTCCCATCGCCAAGCGATCCTTTGTTCGAGAACAAACCCATGCCGAAGGCAACGGCACTCTGCGCAGACCTGTGAACCTGCGAGACAAGACAAGTTCATCGACGAACAAAAGCTTTCTCTCCAAAACAAACCTGAGTCGTGAGGATCGGGCTGATTTTCGGATGATAGTCACCACTAAAAATCTCCGGGAACCTCTCCCGGATCCTCTGCCCAAGCCGGAACATCTCCTCCTCACCGGGGATCGTCAGCTCGCCACCGACAAACTTTCCTCTCCATGCGGCCTCCCATCCGGAAGGCAGAAAAAACTCTCCAGCCTTCATGCTCTTGGCAAGCTCACTGAGCCTGACTTCCAGCTCCTCAAGCTGTTTCAAGCGCTTCTTTGTAGGCGCTCGCGTCCCATGCCTTGCCTGAAAAGCAAAGCAACCAAAAAAGAACAAGAAAATCGAACCAAGAACGCTCGTATAATCCTCTCTTACCACAAGATTCAAGTGAATAGGAACGCAGCCTTCCGGCGGCGATGGATCCTCCGTGAAGTGCTTGCTTCCAAGATCTCGCGAAACTTCATACCTGAAAAATCCATGGAGAGCTGTCTGGAATCCGCATGGATGGATGAAAATCTCACCTGGTGGAGCTGGAAAGGTGCTCGCGCACGTCGAAATCTGCAAATGCAGTGGACAGCAGCAGCACAACCGACACGAGCGCTCTCATCTCCGCATAAACCCTAAAAAAGGAGCAAACCTTTACCTTTGTCAAGAGAGTTATTTCTCATTTGAGAATTTTTTTCTCGCGCTCTCGTGTCACGTCGCCATCATTCCCATTTCACACTTATTTGGAATCGTTGCATCATGAAAGAAGCGTACTATGCTACACTCTGAACACGCGATTCGTGTCCCTGCTATAAATTTCTATCTTGTCATTGTTTTGTCTAAGCGATCATCGATATTCCCAATCTTTCCTTCTTCTTTCTTTCACTCTCGACCCTCTCGAGAATTTCCACTTGCTTGGTGTTGGTCTGCTTGCTCACATTTTTTCTAACGATGGCTTCCTCATACTAGTTTGTCCTCTAATAAGTTTTCTTAGTAGCTTTGGAGAGAATGGGGGAAGAGGCTGCGCTCGCCAAAGAGAAGCTCGACGCTGGAGCGGCATTCGTGCTAGTATCCAAAGGTTTGAATGCTCGCAAAACTCGTATAGGATTTGATCAAAGATATTCCAGGAACAAGAGAGAGCTTTGACTGAGAGTTTTTTCTTGAATCTTGCTTGCAGGGACATGGCTACACGCAGCGTACCATCTCACCACAGCCATCGTTGGTCCAGCGATTCTAAGCCTTCCATACGCTTTCGCGTCACTCGGCTGGGAATTGGGAGTTTTGGCCCTGACAATGGGAGCTCTTGTCACCTTCTATGGCTACAATCTCGTCTCCACGCTGCTCGAGCAAGCGGATCAAAGAGGCCAGAGACACTTGCGCTTGGGAGATTTGGCGGTGGACATTCTTGGTGAGATTCTTTTTCTTTCTTTTCCGAAAAGCTGCGCTGTAGTTCTGACTTTCTTTATCCTGTTCTTGCAGGACCAAAGTGGAGTAAATACGTTGTTTTTCCGCAGATGGTCATCAGCTTTGGCATCGTTGTTGGCAGCAATCTCTTGTGCGGACAAGGAATGCTCGTAAGTTCTCCTCTCAATCGTTTCTTCCAGCTTTCCAAGTGAACCATCGGGTTTAAACGCAGAAAATCTACGAGAACTTGGTGAAAGAT